TCTTGTTGTCATGGTTACTGATGCTCTGGGCGCACAGCCTTTGAGTGACACTGCACCTCCACCAGCCATCGGTCATCACCTGCCACACTCCCGCTCTGTGCCCCATGAATGTGGCTCCCTGCCCTCCCGCCTGCATTTGGCTCTCTCCTTTCCTCTGTTTGGGGTTCTATTTTTGGAACCAGCAAGCCTTAAATAACTTTCTCTCCTGGGTCCTGGGTCTGGGTCCTGGGTCCTGGGTCTGGGTCCTGGGTCCTGGGCCAGTCCAGCCCCTTGCCTGCCTGCCCCACCCAGTGGCTCCAGCTCCTTGCCCTGCCGATCGGCAGCACCGAGTGACCTCACAGTTCATTTCATGGCAAGACATGTGATGTCACGGGGTCATTTTGGCCCTAAAACCTGCCTGGATTCCAGGCCTCCCAGGGGACAAGAGAAGGGAGAGCTGGCAGAGTGGAAGTGGGGTGAGGAATTTGGACGGAATGTTCCTTGGAGGCTGAGTCCGCATTCTGTATCCCCTGCCCCCAGCCCGGGCAGGGCCTGCCCCCCAGCCTTTTCCTCCCTCCAGAACAACAGCCCACAAATACATTTTTCCCAGCCCACCCTCCCTGCAGGCCACCAAGGTGTCCTACGGCATGAGTCCCCAGGCAGGCATCCCAGACACCCCGAGTGCTGCAGCATGGTGGCCCTTCCCAGGCCATGCAGTGGGTTTGGAGAGGACATGTGTGTCTTTTTTTTTTTAGAAAAATATTGAAGAAAGGATGTGCAGTTTCCCTTATCCACCCTGTGGTTCATAACCCCTCACATTCAGGAAGTTCTCTCTGGGTCTGATGTCAGTCTCTCCTGTGGTCTGTTTCCTGTTCTTTCTGTGGACGTGTAGCCATGAAGTGCCTTCTGACAGAGGACCTGAGACCAAGGGTTGGCTCTAAGTGGGCTCTCAGAAAGTGGGTTTCCAACAGGAGGGCTGATGGTACAGAGTGAGGAGGACTCAGAAAGATGCTCTGGGGGGTCGAGAGAGGGAGGGAGGGAGAGGGGCAGATTATTAATCTGCACCCTCAGTTTGCTCTACTGTAAATGGGGCAGTGCTTGCCAGCCTCGGTGGTCATGAGGGTTGGTGATCAGGAAAGCAAAGCGCCTGATACTCTGTCCAAGGTGTCTTTAACACTTCATGAATACAGCTTTAGCATCTCCAGACCAGGGCCAGGAGTAGCTGGAGGCAAGTAGGTCCTCTGGGCTGTGAGATTCGAGGAGTGTCACTCTTGGGCTGAGCATGGGCACTCACAGGTTCTGTCAGGATCTGTCCTGCCTAAGCTTCCCACCCATTTCCACCTTGTGGACCAGGGTTTGAGGCCCTGGTGGAAAGCGATCCCTAAAGGGCACTGGAGTGCTGGGGCTGGACGAGGAGGGGACCAAGGGAGGGAGCTGTCCTTCTTTGGGCTCCGTCTCCCTCACCCTTTGCAGCTGGCCTTTCGATGCCTGCCAGCCTTAGCTGGGGCCCAGGGTGAGGCGCAGTGTGAAGAGTGTGGTAGTGGGCTTTGGACACCTGGAGCCCACCCCATGCCTGTCACAAACCTTGTGATGAGAGGGGAGGGAGGAGATGATGCCTCAGGCCTGCTGGGGGCTGGGTTCTAGGTGTCACGCAAGGGTGTCAAGTACAAGTGTGTTTGTGGTGGGGTAAGAGAAGTTCAGGCCAAAATCTAAGCAAAGACGGAGTCTAGGACCTTCAGATGCTGGGGCCCCGAGTGCCAGGTGCACTGTCAGTGAATGTTCAGCACAGTTGGGTATCAGGGAAGGTTTGGGGTAGTGTGTCACCCCACAGATATTTACTGAGGCCGGGCACATTTCTAGGCTCCTGGATGGGGAAGGAGAAGTTAATATTTTAGTGCAATAAACAGACACTAAATGAGATTAGTAAGTAAAATATGTAGTACGTTGGAAAGCCATGTGTTCTAAGCATAAAAATAAATCAAGAGGTGAAAAGTGTGCGGGGGAGGCGTTGTGTGTGTCATTGTGGGGGCTTCAGATAAAGGTAGGATGACCGCCAAGGCCTGAGAGTCTCTGCCAGCCCTCAGAGCTCTGGGGCCGCCACACAGGGGAACTACAGCTCTGCATGGCCAGAGCTCTGGCCGCAGCTTCCCCGCAGGGCCTGGATTGGGGTGGCTCACTGGCACCCGACTAGTCCCAAGCTTTTCTCATCTCCAGTAGCCCTGGGATTGGCAGTGATCGGGAAGGAGAGAGTTGAGGCCTCGAGTCCCAGGAGAACCGGGGCGGGGCAGCGTGTAGCATGCACACCCGGCTGGGTTTGCAAACACATAAGACGGCTCCGGGTGTTTAGGCTGGGAGGAGCTTCTGGAAATTTTTAGCTCTTCAGGAAGCATGTAGAGCAGTGAGTTGAAGGCATCTGATCGCTGGCAAGTGCTGCCCTGTGGCTGGCCTCCAGCTGGCAAGGGGAAGGGGCGGGGGCACAGGGATGGTGCTCAGATGATCGCTGGCAGGAAGAGGACGACTGCTGCTCTGCTGAGGACTGTGGTTTCTAGTATCGACCCCACTCCCTTGTCTGCCTGATGCCAGGCATGAGAGGGGTGGGCTGGAGGGGCAGGGTGGGGCACGGTGGCTCAGGGGGTGTGTGGGGGTGTCCTGAGCGTGGGATAATGAATAATAGCAACAGCCAACATGGACTGAGAACTTTTTTCTGCCTGGGACTGCTCTAAGGGGCTCATTGCTCTGTTCCATTTGGTTGCCATGAACTCATTGTAGGCTATCCTTCGAGGTATGCCAGGACCATGTGACCTGCTGGGCAGTACCAGTCAGCAGCAGGGGCCCAGGTGTAATCCCAGGTGGCCTTCAGGCCAGTGGTTCCAGCATCATCTATGAGCCTATTGGAAGTGCACATTCCGGGGTCCCTGCATGGATGTCACTGACTCAAAGCCTGCAAAGCGGGGGGAGGGGGCAGGCACCATTGGTCACTCTGCTGAGAGCTGGCCCATTGGGGCACTTTCCTTGAAGGGACATGAAGGAGCTTTTCAGGACCTGGGGTACCCATGTAGATGATTCCATGCCCCCATTTTTGTCATATGAGGAAAGCTGGGTCCTCCTATGGTCAGGGAGGGCTGTAGAGTTTGGTGCTCTGGGCTCACATATCTGCTCCTGGGGAGACTCTGCACATACACGGTCCTGGGACAGCTTTTCAGGGGACAGCTTTTCATCTCCCCCCAGGACACCAGAACTGCTCAGAAAGGAGCAGTGGGGCTGTCTCCATGCAGGTTGGAGGTCTCCATGTAGCTGGAGGTCTCCAGGTGAGTATAACAGAGCCGTGGACAAGAAAGGGAGGAGGGGGGTAGTGAGGAGCTTGGTGGGCCAGTCCCACCACGGAGGACCCCTAGGGCTAGAGCCAGCTCCCAGTTGAGTCTGGTCACAGTACAGGAGGCAAAGGGAGTGACCACACTGCGAGAGCTCAGGGCTTAGAGCTCAGTAAAGGGCAGCGGGTCCTGGGGGTTTCCTGAGAGCTGTGTGTCCCCTGCCCCAGTGGTCCATGGCCTATGAGTGGGAATTTTAGGAGGAATATTGTTGGGGGTTTAGGATTAGAGCTGAGCTGGGAGAGGCAGAAGGTGACATCATTATGGGTCCTCAGAGCCATCCCCAGTGTCCAGGTGGGGAGATGAGGGCCTCTCTGGGGTGGGATGGGGGTGTGCGCCCACTTCTACTATGTGCCAGGACCCTGGTCTCCCTCCAGTGCCCAAGCTGCTCAACAAGTCTCAGCTCCTGCAGCGAGGTTTTGGATTCAGTCTGCTCTCCAGGCAGGAAGGGGAGATGCGTCTGGCTCCTTTGAAGGAGGAGCACTGTTGCATTGAGCCTGTCCCAAATTCCCCCCATCCCATCTCCTGCCGGATGCTCACACTGTCCGTGGTCTTTCTGTCCATCCCCCTGTCTCTGCAGACAATCATTTGGCCCTCAGGCCCTGCCATGGGTTGGCAGGCATTTCCTGTTCCAAGAGCCCTTGTCTTCAGCTGGGTCTGTGAGCATCCTCCAAAAGGCTTTCCTCATCCCCTCAGCGGTACTGGTGACCTTCCACCTAGGCAGGGGCCCAGAGCCCCAGGCTGAGCTGGAGGCTGTGGTCCAGAGATGCATCTGGGACCAGAAGTTTCTCTTCCTTCTCTGGGGGCCTGAGGGGCCCACTTTTTGGAATCCCTTTGCAGGAAGCTTCCTCTTGGTCTGGGCAGAAGAAGGGCAGCTCTGGGATGACCTGTTCCCAGGGGTTTTCCTGCACATAAGTCATAGTCCTTGGCATGAGGGAGCTTTTGGTTTCAGGATAAGAATCTTAAATAACACAATTGTAGGGAAACAAAGGCGTATATTTCCACAGTGAGATCCTTCCCACCCTGAGATGATCTGCAGATAGAGAGGCAGACTAGAGCTCAGTTACCGTGGTGGTCAGAGAGAGCTTCCTGGAGGAGGGAACTCTCACCTTGGTGTGAAGCGAAGCCACTTTATGAGGCAAGGCCTGTTTGTGCCCATGGGGTAGCGGCCAGGTCTGATGGGGCAGCTTTGTGTGTGGAGACTGAGGTCTGAGAGGACAGAGATTGGGGGGAGACCTTGGACACTTCCTGGAGCAGCAGGGAGGGGCGGGCTTCTACCCAGGCTGCTGTGACTTCATGCAAAGCATACAAAGTGCAGAACCCAAGCTGAATTCGAATCCTGTTGTCCCCATTAGAATTGGTACCTTTGGGTCACTCACTTCCTATCTCTAAAGTGACACTGAGCGACCATAACGGTCCCCACCTCCCAGGATTCTGGTCTTGGTCCTCAGTGGGAATCTGCAGAAATGGTGATTCTAGTCCTCACGGGCCTGCTTTGTTGTCGGTGCCCTGCCATTCAAGTTTGGGGCCGGCCGGGTTAGGTCTGAGTCCTGGGCTGGTGTCACCTGTGCCTGTCCTTGCCGCCAGCCCTGGAGCAAGCCCGCCCTGTGGTGTTTGTCCGGGGGCCTCACTGCTCTCTGCTTTCATCTGCAGCCCGTCGCCACAGAGACTGCGCCGAAGAATGTAGTGTCCGCGGTAAGTGGCGCGGGCAGGTGGGTGCAGGGCGGGTTTGTGGGAAAGCAAGCAGGTAAGCCAGGCGAGTCCTGGTGGGCGAGTTTCCCTTGCCAGTGGTAGCATGAAGTCACGGCTTGGGGTTGAAGGATTTGAGTTTAAATCCTGACTCTGCCAGAGTTCTAATGTTTTCTTTGTGTGGTGCTGCATCTCTAGGCCTTAGGAGTTCGTTTGTTTGTGAGACAGGATCTTGCTCTATAGCTAAGTTGCTGAGGCTGCACTCGTAATTGTGATCCTCCTGACTCAGCCTCCCAGAATGCTAAGATCACAGGCAGTGTCACCATGCCCGGATGTTTCTCTTCTTCCTCATCCTCATTCCCCTCCTCTTCCTCCTTTTTCTCCCCTTCCTCTTTCTCCTCCTCATTCATGTAGAAGATTGAACACAGGGCCTCACATGTGCTATGTAAACACACTGCCACTGAGCTACATCCCTGGCCCCTAAGGTTCTAACTGTGTAGCTGTAGACAAGGCCTGACTATGCCTTAATTTTCTGATCTGCGGAATGGGAATAATATCTCCCATATCAGCAGTCATGAGATGCAGATGAGAGGGGCTGGCTAGCTCTGAGGGTCTCCTAGGAGACAGAGAAAAGTCCGACAGATCTCCCCTGGCTGCTCAGCCAAGCCCCTCACCTCCGATGCACCAGCAGGTGGGAGAGTGCTGCCCTTTCACTGTCTATTTAACCCCCCTCTCGATCACTTTTCTTCTGTCTTCAGGGAGAAGGAACCTCCCGGGGTGGAAACTCAAGGAAAAGCCTGGAGGAGGACGTAAGTGCTAGAGAGGAGGGCTGGATCCCTGGCCTGGGGGAGTGGCTGGGAAGGAGGTCCTGTCCTGCCTGCTCCCCAGAAGGACAGGCCAGGTGCGGCCTGTGGATTCGAAGTTGGACCTTGAGGTGCATCTAGGCTGCACCTGGAGCTTGCTGACCCATGACAGCTTGGTGGGGAGGTGAGAAGGTGCATCTATGAGCCTGGCATGGTGGTAGGCACTCTCAGAAAGGGTAAAGGGAATGGGCAAGCAACGGCAAGAAGGATGGGGCCCGAGGCAGAGTGGCCTGGGGTCACTGGATCTTGGGGGTTTTGTAGGGCATGGAGGTGCTTCTTGAGAAGCAGGGCAGGAGTCTCTGGAAATGGCCAGGTCATGTGTGCAGTTTAGCTGCTGGTAGATCAGGAAGAGGCGGGCGATGCTAGCTGATGCTTTGGCCCTCTTGCCTTGTGTTTTGGTAGTGGTGAAGATCGAGGGGCAAATGCTTTCTGTGGAAGGGACTCAGAGTAGGGCGCAGAGACCTTGCCCCAAGTCAGGTCTGTGAGTGACTTGTTTGTCTCTATGCCCTCTATCAGGCCCCACAAAAGTACCCCCCACAATGTGCTCTGCACTGGCCTCTCTGCCCTCACTGCTGGTCTGCAGAGGAACAGGGAGTGGTTTTGGCGGTTGGCACAGGGGGAGCTGTTGATGGCATGGGGCCCTATCATCTGACAGCTGCCTGACCCACGGTGGGGAGGGCCCCGCAGGGAGGTGCCGGGAGTGAGGAGGCGGCTCCTGCAGGCGACCACACCGCTGCTGTGTGTCCGGGGTGTCCCCTACACCCGCACTAAGGAGCAGAGTTGTCCGGGCACACAGGCCCCCAGGACAGGCAGGGAAGATGCCTCTCAAGCTGGCGGGCAAGGCTGTGTTCAAGGTATGGGGGTTCCCATGGCATGGATGTGTGTACTGGGAGCGCCCCTGGCCAGGTTGGTGACATTTCTGGGCTAGTGCACAGGGGGATGGTAATTGTTTTGTGTGTACCTGCTACTAAGGGTGAACCGGAAAGGTCCTCAGAGCCAACACACAGCATATGTACTCAATCAATGTTGGCCATTCTTGATAATTTCTGTTACTTTCTTTAAGGACTAGGAATTGGGCCTCATGAGCTCCGTGTGGTGCATGCCGCGTCTCCAATTATAGATGAGGAAGCAGAGGCTTGAGTGGCTCCAGAGATGTGCTGGTGTCATCCAGGGCTCCCGATCTTTCACCAGGGCACAGTGCCCTGAGCACGTCCAAAAGCCACATCCCAGCGCTCCCTGCGTTGCCAGCCTAGGCTGGATGGTGCCAAGGCACTAAAGCTACAGGGTGGTAGAATCAGTTAGACATGGTGGAGAACTGTTGACAGGGGCGTGTAAGGCCTTGGTCCTACCGAAGAAGGAGCTGGAATTGAGGGGTTTGTGTGTGTGTGTGTGTGTGCATGCGCGCCCGCGTGCACACAGGTGTACATGCTAAAGACTGAATCCCAGTAAAGTGCCTGATGCATGCTAGACAAGAGCTCTGTCACCATACTGTGTCCCAGTCCTTTAAAACTTGTACTCACCTATTTTTGTGGCAATGGGGCTTGAACCCAGGGCTCTCTTACTGAGTTACATCTCCAGCCCTTTTTTCACACTTTTTATTTGGAGGCATGGTCTCACTAAGTTACCCAGGCTCAGCTCCAACTAGAGAGTTTTCTGCCTCACTCACGTAGCGGCTGAAGTTACAGGCATGCACCATTGTGTCCAGCTAGAAGACCTACTTTTAAGGCTCCTCGACACCTGTTCTAGGTTGAGTGACCCCAGGGCTACTGGGTCAGTGCCTGGCCAGCCGCTGTGTTGTCCTGCATTCTGCCCTGGTAAGGGGAAGGGAGCCTGTTCTCCAAGAAGCGCGGCTGTGACAGTGCCTGCTGCTGGGATAATACGCTGTTTGTTGGGCTGTTTTCCTGCCTCTGGCCCGAGGCCCAGGACGAGGCTCAGGACGCAGGGTGCAGGATGGCCGTTTCCCTCCGGCAGAGGTGCTGTGGAATGGAGTTTATGGACGGTGTGCTCTGTCGCACTTTGTTTTGGAAAAATCCAGGCTGGTGGGCAGGAAGGAGAGGAAGGGGTGTGGCGGAGGGGGTGGCCGTGGCCCCCTGGGGACACATGGGAAGGGGGCTGGCCCCTCACACAGGCTGGTGGCCACTTCCAGCTGCCTGTCACAGCTCCTGGCCTTGCTTCCATGCTCTCCTGGCATCCATGGCCCCTGGGGCCTCGGGCTCAGGAAACAGCTTTTCTTTGGGTCCAGAGATGTTGTGTTTGGTCTGTGGACCTTAGAGAAAGGTAGGACTCTTCCTACAGGGCGTTGCTTCAAACTAGCCCCACCCAGGGCCCAGCTTCCCGCTCTTGCTGTAGGGAGGGAAGAAGGCAGTAAATAACTGAGCCCCGGGTGCTAATCTCCAGCCACCCACGAGTGTCTGGGTGATGATCGGTGCCCACCGGAGGCATCGGCGGAGTCTGCAGCAGGAAGGGTGAGGGGTAGACACTAGGAAGGGCTTCCCGGCAGTGAGAAAGGCTTCGGAGTCTCCTTTCACAGTGGGTTTTTCAGCCAAGGCGACTGTTTTCAGAGATGAGGATGGGAGGGTTCTGTTTGGTGCCCAGGGAGTTGGACCAAAACTTCTATTATTGGTTTGTGCCTTGGGAGGGGCTAGGAGGAAGTTCAAACCTTGTGGGTTAAAGGCTTTCAAAGCCCCAGGGAGGAAAAGCTTAAGATTGCAGGCAGGCAGAGAGCTATTTTTATTTTAAAAATAAAGTCAGGAAAGTGTTACCCAGGGTCTCCGAGTAGAGTAGGTAGGAGGTGCTGGGAGCATTGTGTTGTACCCATTTTACAGAAGGATCAAATGAGGCCACGCTACTTCTCAGCCTGGCCTGCTAATGAGTAGCTTCACTGTAGTGTCAACTTTCTGCAGTCAGGGCCTCATGCCCCGCCCTCCCTGGTGCCCAATACTTGGCTTGGCACGCAGTCAGGGCCTGGGAGGGAATGCTGACTGTGATCGAGCACAGAGACGACAGGCAGCCTTTGTGGTCAGGGCTGCTCCTGGGGGCACGCTGTCCACTCCTGAAGTCACCTGGGTGTTCTGGGACTTTCAACTCATGCTTCCTGCTGCCCCAGCCCATTTGCTGTTTGAGATCTCCCTGTGTGAGCCAGCGCCCTGCTGGCCAGGCTCACATGCCTGCCATCTCTGCAGAAAACAGGAAGCCCATGGGTTCGAGGCCTGCTCAGTGATTCACTGGGGGGTGACAGTTCAGCTGTTTGTCCCTGTCCTCTGAGGCGAGGTCACCTTCCGGGGCAGCTTCCTCCCTCCCCAATGCTGCCCTGCTGGTGGAGAACAGCAGGCTTGGACTTTGTCTTATCACCGCTGGGGGTGGCTGGCCAGACTCCGTTGGGGCCAAGTTTGTATTTATCTGGCCTGGCTTTTTTTGGGGTGGGGAGGCTGAGGAATGTGGCATGTCCTAACGTTTGGAAGAAGGTGGCGGAACGGGAGCCAGGTCTCTCTGGCTTCTTGTCCTCATACACTCTGTGCCTTTGGAGGCTCCCAGCTCTCCAGGCTCCCTGATGCCCTGGCCAAGCACCTTCGATCCACTGTGTGCCTCCGGCTCCCTGTGCCTGGATGTGTGTTCTTGGCCCCACCTCAAGCCTTGGCCAAGTTGTGGCTTCCAGTTGTTTGGAGCAGCTGTGGTGGCTGTGGATCAGCAGCAGATGAAACCCCAGGGGCTATTTATAGCAGGGTGGCCCTGGGGCCTGGAGCAGGGCCCAAGGCCTGGGGAGAGTCACTGGCTCCTCGTCAGGGACCGGGGCAGTGAGATGGATGAAGCGTTGGGTTTCTGTGTTCCTTTGGGTGGGTAGCTTTGGAACAGCCTGGTGGGGACTTGAAACCCTCCACAACCCCTCCTGCCCCCTCCTGGTCTGACTCATCAGAGTCCGAGTCCCTGGGCCAGCAGAGCTGCCGAGACCGAGAGAGGTTCCACCCGACAGGCCCATTTGGCTCCTGCCACCTTGCACTGCGGCCACTGCTGAGCTTTTCCGAGCAAGAGGAGCCCAGGCGGGCACTCAGGGCACAGCCTTCTGCGGCTGCCCACCCAGGGTGCTGCATGGAGAGCTGTTTTCTTGGCCAGCTGCTCTGACTTCTGGTTTGGCTGGGAGCTGGGCTCAGTGCCCATCCCTATCTCTGAGGTGCTGCAGCAGGGAGCTCCTGTGCTTGGGGTCCCACCGTCAAGCCTTGGGTTGGAGTTCGAATCCTGCTGGTGGTCAGCGTCCCGGGGACTTGGGGGTGAGTCACTTGCGCCTCAGTGTTTCTTCTCCTGCTTTTCCAAGAGCTGGCTGCAAATTGGCCATGGGGGGTCAGCAGGTTTCTGGGGGAGTTGATGGGCTCAGAGGCCAGGCTGGGTCCAGTAATCTAGACACCAGAAATCTCAGCTCCGCGTCTTGTGAATGGCTGAAAGGATGAGCAGCTGCTGGCAGTAGAGGGAAGCCAGGTCTGACTTTCCGCGACGTGAGTGGTTGTGGCCTCCTCTCAGTTACTTCTCTTTTACTTGTACTTGATGTAATAGTAATAGCGTAACTGCCAATTGTCATTTTTTGTTGTTTTTGTACTGGGAATCACACTCAGGGTCTCACACTTGCCAGGCAGGCTCTGTGCTGCTGAGTGGTATCCCGCTCAGCTGTCATTTATTAAATGCTGAGCATTAAGCAGAACTTCTCATGTGCATGATTTCTTTGCCTCCCCATGCAAGCCTTATGGCTGTCCCGTCTGATGTATGACATTTCAGTAGGCTTAGCAGGGTTGTCCCAGAAGGCTGCCCCGCCCAGAGCCTAGATGCTAGAACCCAGAGTCTGGAGCCTGGGAGGCTCTGGCCTGTGCTTGTATTGTTGTGACACCTGTCGCCATGGGATGGGGGTCCATTTGCCTAGTTTTGTATAATCAGCAAGTTCAGGATGGGAGTGGATGACAGAGGGTAGCACGGCTCACGGCCCCTCATCCATGGCATGCTGGGCTGTTCTGTCTCAAGTCACTTGACTGAATGACCTACCACTGCTGCTCTTGAGGAGCGGGGGAATATGGGATGACAGCGTCAGAGAAGTTGGGTTCCAGAACTGGATGGAGGGTGCGCCACACTCGTCTTCCCAGTGCTCTCCAGATGTACTTCATTGTCACACTGGGCGTGGTCACCGCGGTGGCCCAGGGTGTCTGAGGCTTGCATTTCTGTTGATTCAGTGGCCGTTACTTGCATCCTCAGGACCGGTGCCACTAGCCCAGTTGGGCACATTTCTGAGCATGGGGGCTTCCGTCCTTCTGCCCCTTTTGGGGGCTGCATACAGACAGGCATTCTCACATGCAGGTGGCTTTGACTACGTTCGGCTCGGGTTGCCGTGTTGCTGGAGTGGCAGGACTGGACACCTGTCAGAGAAACCAGACTGTCTGTGTTTGGCAGATGCCCTGATGCGCCTGTGGACCTGCCGTCCTCCTGCCCTCCTGCCTGCCCCACCATAATGCTGCCTCTTTTTTCTCTTTCCCAGGGAGCCACTAGAGTCCCACCAAGCATCCAGCCACTGCCGCAGCCAATCAGGTAGGCCTGCTCACAGGAGCATGGGGTGGAGGGGCCAAGGCACATGTTCTTCTCAAGTCTTAGCCTTGGGTCTCCACAACCAAAGCCATCAAGCCACAGTGAGAACCTGTGTGCGGGTAGATGGTCCTGGGCAGCCGGCTGCTGTGTTTTGGGTTTCAGCACAAACCCAACCTTGAGCTGAATTCTTTATTTACCTGCATGAGCTCATGTAGGCCTTGCAGCAGCTCAGCAAGGTATGTTGGCAGATGGAGAACCAAGCTTCAGAGGGACGAGGTGGCTTGTCAAGGGTCACATAGCCTCCCAGAGGCAGCACTTGGGAGACTGGCTGGCCCTCAGCTTGACTGGTAGATCTCCTTCTCTGCAGAGTTTCTTATAAGGAGGAGGTTATTTGCCAAAGAGAGGTCCTCTTGGGAAACGTGCTAGAGGCCTGTTTTAACTGTGTCCAGGCTGTCTGCCTTGGACCCCCCACACCCCAGAACTCCCAAGATGAATGAGAGTGCTGGACCTAACAGGGAAGTGACGCCCCTAGCAATGGGGGCCTAGCTGCCAGAGCGGCCAGGAGCTAGAGGTGAATTGGAGAAATACTTGGGGTGGGAAGACGTGGCGTGCAATGCCGAGGCTTCCCAGTTGGTGGCGCTGTTCTGTTCGCATCTTATTCCATAAGAAACAGCTTGGGGACTTGGCGGATGAATGTCCAGGACTGGCCTCATCTGACTCATACCTGTCACCACCATGTCCCTCTCACTGTCTTTCTAAGCTGGAAAAATAGGAGTTGGGCTTGCAAGTTTTCCTGGTAGTGCTGTCCCTTCCCAGGAGCCAGAGCAGAAGGCTGGTCTAGTTAGCCAGTCTCTCTGCCCTTGGCCCCATCTTGGAGGTGACGCATGCATGTTGCTTCTTGTCCTGGCTTGTGCTTAGGTATGCAGTGGCCTGAATCCAGGGTCCCATTCCTATGGCTGCTGGGAGAAATTTATCATGGGGACAGGGAGTGGCGAGGGCACAGAGGTCTGACTCATGTTGGGCTCCAAGCCTGGCCTCTGGTTCCTTGTACCACTCAATCCTGGTGGAGATCTGGAATCTTACAGGTCTCTTGCTGCCCCTAGCCTGGTCCTCCCCATCACTTGTACACGGCACTCCAGTCCAGCTCTATCCTGCCCTGGTGGAAGGCTAGCAAAATGAAATCAGTGTTGCCCACCACTGACAGAGAGGGAAGCCAGGGGCTGGGAGATGGTGATGGGGTGACAGGTGTGAGGGTGCCTCATGGGCTTCCCTAGTGAGCATCCTGGGCCATCCCCTGGAGAAGAAGCCAGGGCACGTGTGAAGATGTGAGCCCCTTGCTCCCTCTCCCAGAGACCAGCTCAGTGGTCCCCAACTCTGAGGAACTGCCCACCACAGCCTCAGCAAAGACTCTGTGTCCTTTCCTGGGCCCTTAGCATTGGGGGTGTCACAGCCACAAAGCAGCTCTGGCAGGCGATGGGAGCAGCCGGCAGTGGGGAGAGAGCCAGGGACCAAGGGCAGTGGCCAGTCAGCTTTGGGAGGGCTGGAGTGCACACAGTGGGCTGCCTTACCTGTAGTCCAGGTGAATGTGTCACCTGAGCTGTTTTCCCTTGCAGAGAGGCCTCCAACTCCCCCACAGCTGGCAAGCAGGAGACACAGCTGAAGTTTCCACTTGGATGCTGGGGATCCTAGAGCCTCCTTCCCATTTGGAGCAGTTCCTGTGTCCTTTGGAAACTTCTCTCTGGCTAGGAGGGCATGGTGTCCAGAGGCAGGGCAGGGCTCCTGGGGTCCTGGTTGGGCAGGCCCCGATTCTGACCTCTGGAATCCTAGGATAACAAGAATGGAGAATTGGTGTCCTCACACTGTTGGATTCTGATGTGGCCTGAGGTGCTTGCCAGCCCTGGCCCAGCTTGTTCTGTGTGGCGCTCTCAGATGGCTGCCCAGGCCTTGCCAGGGGAAGCTTCCAGCCTTGGCTCTGGGCTGGAGCATGGGATCCCTGAGCTGCAAGCTCCTGGGCTGGATGTGGGATCACAGGTGACGTGTCAAAGGTGCAGCTATCGGGAGCTTGCCTAGGGCACTGGGTTCTAATCAGGGTCCCCTCTGCCCGCTGTCTCCTCAGAAACATGAGTGTGAGCCGGGCAATGGAGGACAGCTGTGAGCTGGACCTGGTGTATGTCACAGAGAGGATCATCGCGGTGTCCTTCCCCAGCACAGCCAAGGAGGAGAACTTCAGGAGCAACCTCCGCGAGGTGGCCCAGATGCTCAAGTCCAAACATGGAGGCAACTACCTGGTGAGGGCAGCTGCTCTGGGCTTCATCTGCTCACTACCGCTTCACTGTCACTGTCACTGTGTACCTACTGCAGACCAGGCTTCTCTTGATCAGCCTGGCCATCCCGTGTGGCCTGGGCCTCACTTCCTGTCTTCTCGAGTGTGTGCGTGCGTGCATGTGTGTGTGTGTGATGCAGGAAGGAGGCTGATCTCACAAGTTCATGTCACTGAGTCTTCCTGGGACCCACACTCTGTGCTTGGCCTTCACGAGACCCCTGGCAAGCAGACACTTATTAGAGCAGAAAGGCAGGATGATTTGGCTGAGGTCACAGGGTCTGGAGGTGGCAGAGTCAGTACAGAGTTGGTGTCTCTGAGCAGTCCTGGGTCAAAATCATGGCCACGTGTGTCTTTGGGGACTTTGTGGCTGGCCCAGAGTAGCCAAGGACACATGCGGGTGACATGACCTGTGGAGGCCTCTAGTGCAGAAAGGCCGACCTGTCCATGGGCCCAGAGGAGGCTTGGGTTTGTGTCGCAGGGAGACACACACAGGCTAATCCAGGGGGCAGCCTGCAGGGTTGCAGAGGTGGGACAAGGAAGGCCGGGTGAGCGTTCCAGAATTACACCACCACACAACGTGTGGCCTACAGAGGTGGAAATTAATCATCTCCCGCTTCTGGAGGCTACGAAGTCTGAAGTTAGGTGTGGAGAGGGCTGTGTCCCTCTGAATCCTGGCTGGGAGAATCCCTCCCTCCCTGTTTGAGCTTCTGCAGCCTCAGCACGCCTCGGATTGGAGCCATGTCATGCCCGCTGCCTTCATCTTGGTACGGCTTTTCCTGGTATCTGCCTCTGTGTCCTCTCCTCTTGTTACAAGGACTCCATTATTGGAGTTAGGATCTACCTGAATGCAAGATGATCTCTTACTGAGATCCCTCCCTGCTTACAGATCCCCTCTTTCCCAAGAAGGTGCAGGTGGTGTTCTGAAGTACTGAGTGGGCATGAGCTCAGTCAGTCCACTCTAGAGTCCATCCATCTGTTGTGCTGCCTGGCAACATCAGAAAGTCCTGATTCAGATGCCGGCTCTGTGCTTACCCCGTGTGCTTGGCTGCTCAGCTTCACTAAGCCTCAGCTTTCCCATTTACGGGATGGGTCTGGTGACACGTGCTATCTCTGTACAGCTGGCAAGAGAATTAAACAGGCTGCGGTGTGCAGTCCTCAGCCCAGAGCGGGTGGGACACTCACTGAGAGGTGGCCATTGCTAATGCAGCCAGATGTGCTCCTTTTGGGGTGCAGGAGAGGACCGGAAGCTGCCCAGATCCTTCCTGGTTTCAGGAGTGCAGAATCCCCGGGTCTCTGCAGCCTGCCTGTTCCAGGTGTGCTGTCTTCTCCCAGGAGAGGACACAGTGGTCTTCGAGTTTCCCAGGCAGTGGCTGGAGGTGGACAGTTCTGTACATCCCTTTGGAGATGGGGAGAGGGATGCCTGAGGTGGAGGATCCCTAGTATGGATGGGCACATGCTGGGAGCCATGTGCCAGGGGTCTGAGAGACCCAAGGGATGTCTGCACCCTCTGATGGGAGGTGTGTGGTGACTGAGTAGTTGTAACACCACAGGATAAGATTCTGAAGCCATCATCACTGGGTCTTGTTCCATATGCTTCACAGCCACGGTTCCCATGAGCACTCAGTGGCAGTGGGGCTGTGTCATGGCTCTTGGTGTCTGTGGTCCCTTGGTCCTGATAGCTGTTTCTGCTGGGCAGTCTGTGTTTGTTGGTGAATGGGGGTTCCATCAGGGAGGGAGAGAGAGAGACAGAGCGACAGAGTGAGAGAGGAAGAAGAGCAAGGATACCCAGGGAGCCGTGGCCTGGGCCCCTGGCTACCAGAGGTCAGTGTCATTCTGTCTGGCCATGCAGTGGGCTGGTCACTGTCATTCTGTCTGGCCAGCAGCAGTCCTGTGTGACCAGTGGGCATCCTTGCCACACCCCTTGTCTCCCCAGCCCCCTCACTCTCCTGTTCACAGCCTCATCCTTTGCTTCTTTCTAGCTGTTCAACCTCTCTGAGCGGAGACCTGACATCACGAAGCTCCACGCCAAGGTACACCAGTGGCTGTTTTGGGGTGGGGTTGCCTTGCCTGAAAGAGGAGGAGAAAGGGTGGGCCGCCTCTCCTGAGTGCCCTGCATTGAGCTCTTTGGGAATAGCACTGTGTTGAGCGGTCCGTTCAGAGTTTAGATGCATCTTACACCTGGAAAGTGGGTGATACCACACCGTTAGTTTCCATAATGCTGAGTACACAAAGTGTGGGTCTGCGTAGAGACTTCCTCTCCACGCCGGGCCCCGGGGAGCACTTGGGATCTCAGGGTGAAGTGAAGTTTGCAGACTTCAGTCAGCTGGGAACTGCTCCTTCAGAGGTTCCTGCCGCAGTGCTCACTTTATTTGCTCAGTGGCTGCACAGGGCTTTGCTGAGGGCCATGTGTAGACCCCTCTGTGCCTGCTGAGCTCAGAGTTGTGTGCTGCAGATCCCAGGGTGCTTGCTCCCAGCCTTTCCTTTAGCACATGTGAGGAAACTGAGGCTGGTTGAGGGAACGTGCCTTGCCTGGACCCCACAGTGAGTCAATGCAGAGCTGGGACCAGGCCCAGGGCCTCCTGTCCTTGCTGTTGGCCTTGTCCTCCACCCTCAGCCTCCCAACCAGCTGACTGGCAGGGCAGTAGCCAAGATCTGGCTTTGGGGTCTGCCCTGGCTGCTGGCTGGCTCCCCAAGGCTTCGTCTTCTCTCGTGGCCTCAGGTCCTGGAGTTTGGCTGGCCCGACCTGCACACCCCGGCGCTGGAGAAGATCTGCAGCGTCTGCAAGGCCGTGGACACTTGGCTCAATGCAGACCCGCACAACGTCGTCGTCCTGCACAACAAGGTCGGAGCTGGGCTGTGGCGTGTGTGCGTGCGTGCGCATGTGTCCCCATGGGCATGCGAGTGCCTGCATGTGTCCCCGTGGGAGTGCGTGGGAGTGCCTACCTGTGTCTTTGGACTGTGTTTGCTTGCATGTCTACCGTCTTCATTCAGAGGGATGATAGATTCTGTCCTGGGGGGCATCCCCAAGAAGTGGGGGTACAGCTGGGTCCCTAGTGGTGGCTAATTAGCTGTGCTCCCCCTTCCCTCCTTGTGTCCCCCCTCCTCCTCTGCACTCCCTAGGAACCACATCCCACTCTCCAACCCCTGTGTCCTTTCCTCCTGGGCTTCTGTGTAGTCTCTGGGGCCACCTTAGAAATAAAGGACGTTTTCCTCTTTCAGGGAAACCGAGGCAGAATAGGAGTTGTGATCGCAGCTTATATGCACTACAGCAACATTTCTGCCAGGTAGGAGGGCCTGAGCCTCCTGTGCCCTGATCATTGACAGTATGACTCCCCTCCCCGTCCCACTGTGGCCTCTGCCTTCCCTGGGGTGGGAGAGTCTGATAAAGTGGATGAGAGGAGACAGGATGCAGGAGCTCCAGCTCTGTGGAAAGGGCCGCCCTCAGTGGTGAGGGAGCCTGTGGGAGGAGAGAGGAGCATCTGTGCCCTCCTGGGGCCCTGTGGGGCTGCCTTGGGAGGCAGGCGTGGCTCTGAGCACCCCACCCAGTTAGTGTCATGGGGGCCCCTTGCCTTTTTCCAGCTGTCTTCTGTTTAGCTTGTGAGCGTGGTGGGAGTGAGAAAGAAATGTCAGTCAGGCCTAGGCCTGGCAGAACCATCTAGAAGTTATCTCTGCTGCTGGCCAGCGGCGTTCTCTTACTGACTAGGTGTCATAAAGCAAGAATAGGAAACAACTGGTGGCCAGTTCTTGGTCTGATCCCATTCTGCAGGGAGGCTCAAGGATTCATTCATTCCTTTATTTATTCATTCCTCAGTGACTGTTGGACAGCCACTGTGCCCTGCGTGGTACCAGGCCCTTGCCCTGTGGACACTCAATAAGTAAACAAATCCATCAGTAATGTCTGATGATAATGAATATGAAAGAATAGAGACGAGAGAAAACAGTGGGCAGGGGCATGGGGCAGAGAGGGCCTGTGGTCTTGGTGACACTGGTGCAGGGAGGAAGAGGTGATGCTGCTTCAGGGACCTGCGGGACCAGGAGCAAGGCCGGGAGTGGGGCGGCAGGGGGCTGATGTGTTGAGCATGCACTGGAAGGCAGAGCCACCTGCCTTTGTGGGCCGTGTTCAGGACCTTGGAGTTGATTCTCAGAGTCACGGGAAGTCACTGGAGAGCCAAGAACAGAGGAGCCACACAACCTGTCCTTTCCCTTAAAAATGATCTCTGAGCACGTGGGGTCATCCTGTGGGGGGCTGTGTTACGACTTCAAGAAACCCAACCCAGCCCAGCTTTGCTGAAGGCTAACACCCCCTGTGCCATGCTCCTACAGCTGTGGGTGCTCTTTCTGTCATTACCATAGGACGTTTGAGGAGGGGGAGGTCACCAGCCCATCTGACAGATGCGGGAGATGAGGTTCAGAAAGGTTAAGTCACAGTACCAGTAAGAGGTAGCTTTGATTTGGGCTTCCGGGCTATTTAGCTCCAGAGCCCGCAGCCATGCACTGCCTTACACAGGATGGAGAGATGCTGGGGCACTCTTCCTGGATGCGTGGTAGCACAGCATGGTCGGAGGGGGAGCCTAGAGAGCTCTGCAGGTCTAGAGAAGCAGGGGGCTCTCGGGAATGGGAGTCAGCTCCTCTGACCACCTGTCTTTCCCCACAGTGCGGACCAGGCTCTGGACCGGTTTGCAATGAAGCGATTCTATGAGGATAAGATCGTGCCCATTGGCCAGCCATCACAGAGGAGGTGGGGCTCCAGGGCATGTGCCCATGAGGATGGTGCAGCTGCTTCTGTGCGGGTGCCAAACGTGTTTTCAGCCAGGAGTGATGGAGTGGCACTCCATGGGGGGCATCAGTGAGCCCAAGCCTGTGTGTGTCCATAGGTTGGCACTGCCGGAGGCTCCTGAGCCTCTTTCCTGAGCACAGATGATGGGGAGCGGGGTGCTCTGACTGGGGAAGGAAGGTACTTGTGTGAGGATGCGCATGCTGCTCTTGTCCCTGGTGGCAGGGTTGCTCCAGAGCATGGATGAGTCTACAGGAAGCGATGTCACTGCCGCCTGACTTAGGGGACCTCAGAGACCCAGGATAAGGGCCACCTTCTGTTAGGAGAACATAAAACATTTTTTTAAGGGCTCTCCTTGGCCCTTCTCTGTGTGTTCTCACCTCATCCGGACAGGAAACGAGTTGGGGATGGATTCTTTCGTTCACTGGGCAAGATTTAGGTGCTGTCCTGTATAACTGCAGGCACAGGACATCTGGGAGAATGGGGCAGAGCTCCTTCGCTGAGGGAGCTGATGGCTTGTTCGGAGAGATGGACACTAAACCAGTAATCATAGCCAACACAGTGACCCGTACCTATAATTCCAGGGCTCTGGGAGGATGAGGCAGGAAGACTTCAAGTTGAACCCAGGTGGGCAGCTCAGTGGTTTAGTAAGATCCTGTCTCAATTAAAAAAAAAAGTGACCACACAGACAGGTACTCTAAGGTGACAGTGAGTCCTAGGGACAAATGGAGGACTGCAGAAACAGCGACAGTGTGTTGCTAAAAGCAGTGACAGCGGACTGAGCTTGCTCACAGAGATGGCTAGGGTGTACTTCTAGGAGGAGGTGATTTTGAGCCCTAGGACAGTACTGCACACGTGACATTTTAGGAACCCTCATTTAACAGATGAGAAGCCTGAGCCTAGGGAGAGGTCACAGCCCGGGGCCAAGGTGACAGTGACAGAGCTGGAGCATATGTCAAGGCCGAGTGACACTCAGGCTGAGGCAGCCCCGTTGATGGTTGTGCTGCCTGCTCTCTGAGCACAGGGATTGGCCTACATGGGTCATGTGTCATTCAGTTATGGCTGCCCCACAGGAGAAGGGTGGAGTCAAGGTCAAGTGGTCAGCATGGTGGGAATCCCAGCCCAAATTGGAGACTGGAGTATGGGACTCGGGCCCCCATCTGATGTGGCTGGGAGCCCTAAGCCTGCCACCTGCCTGTGACATGTCAGCTGAGGATATGGCACAGAACGTTTTGAGCAAGGGCTCAAGCTGAGCTTCTGAGGGTTGGTACCCAGGTTCACAAACGAGGTCATTGCAGACACCAGGCTAGGTGCTCTGGTTGGGGAGTGAAGGATGGGCCTCTGCAGGAGATGATGTGGGAGGAGGCGCCTCCAAACGCTAAGGTAAAGGATGCAGGCAGAGGCAGGTGCAGAGGCTCAGAGACCAAAGCACCCCATCAGTCTTCCCAGCCCCAGCGAATGCTAACTGCAGGTCCTGCACCTTCCCGGACCCTTCATACTGAGGGTCCCCAACATGACCCCACCCCTACTTGGCTGAGTAGTAGTGAGCAGGCACAGTTGGGGGCTGTTTCTGCCATTGCAGCGGGAAGCCTACGCGGAAGTTAGTCATCAGAAATCCAGTACCTTAGAGTTGGCACAAAACGGCTGACAGCCAGCCTCTGGGTCAGCTGTCAGAGACAGGATGGCTTAATGTGCAGGAAATCCCGCCACGGCCCCAGACACAGTGACTGCAGGTCAGTGAGTCTTTCCAGGGAGGAAAGCACTGTGGGCCAACTACCTGCGCCTTGGTCCCTGGCACTGGGGCTGCTGGTCTTGATCACCACGTTGCGGCCCTTGACACTAAAAGAGAAGCAGGTGTTATGACGGTGCAGTGTGGCTGGGGTTTATACAGCTCTGACTGAACAGCAAAGCTTGAACAGGGACCTGCTAGCGGTTCCTCGGGAAGAGGGATCCACGGACGTAGGCTTGTGCTGCAGAATGTGCAGCTGGGGGTGCGCGCATGTCTGTGTGCGCATGCGCGTGCGTGGGCATTATCAGGCCGGCTTGCAGCTCCTATCTGCTGCTGCATCTGCCAAGGGCGGGGCATCCTATCTGCCCTGTGTGCGTTTCCTATGCTGCCTTTGCCATTTTCCCGCCTTCTTGTCTGTGTAAATGAGCAGTTGGAGAAGCCGTGAGGGAGAGAGAGGGAGGGGCTTTGTCTGTGGCTCCCCCATTCATTGTCACCCGCCCCCGGACTCATTGTCCCTAGCACAGACGCATCCTGTTGGCACAATTGGGAGATCTGATGGGAACCGGCCATACTGGGTTTCCGGTTTGACTAATGGGGCTGGGGGCTGGGCATGGGGCCTGAATAGGAGCTGGGGCTGCCCATCAGATTATTTTGCTTGGGTAGTCCGAAGTGGCCCCACCCACACTCAGGGACAGAGGCCCATGGGCCTGGAGGTGGGCCAAGGAACCCAGAGAAAGGAGGTGCACACTGTCGTGGTCACACAGTTCCGGTCCCACCTTCCTCAAAAAACTATTGGTTCCCTCAAGCCTCAGGATGCGTTTGATTGGCCTGCGTGACTTAGCCGGGTACTATCACCCTGCCAGAAGAAGTGAAAGTGCTGGCCAATCAAGGGCAGGAGGCTCCCTCTCCAGACTGCTTCTTTGAAGCCCAAATTTCTCTCTTTTCCCTCCCAGCCCCTACCTCTGAGCGTTCTTGCTGTGCGTCTTTGGGAGTCTGAAAGCCCCTTCTAGGCCGATTTTTCTTGTCTAGTAGGAGAGAAAATGGAGTTCATTCTTCCAATAAGCTCTTCACTAACACAATTGGAGGATGCTGACCCTAGAGATAGAGATTCTTATTGGAAATTGGTACCAAGAAAAGTAATTGAGCCAGAGGCCCTCTGTATACTTTGCTGTGGTATAAAGTAAAAAGCTGTAATTACTAGGCTCTTACTGTTTTCTGGACTATCCTATGGCTGGTAGATCTGTGGGGCAGGTCCAGGCCATAGCGGTAGGCTTGGTGTAAGTATAAGCACAAGCTTGGTTTGGCTGGGCGAGGCTGTCAGAAATGTTTGCTGCTTGGGCAGCTTGCCTTGTGCAGTAATGAGCAGCTAAATGTTGCATGCCCATCAGGGAGATGAAGAGCAATTTTGGTCCAACCAGAGATTCCTGGGCTGGAGGGAAGCTGGGGAGAGATGCTTATATTCACCACCAGGGGGCACTGGCAAACTCCAAATAGGTTGTTGGGCTTTATCCAGCTCCTAATCTCACAATCCGGCTGTTTTTCCTACCTGGGGCTCCAAGCAGCCAGAGAGACTGGTCTTGGGTGGAGACCTCAGCTGTCAGGGGGCCTGGGACAGGGGCATATGTTGCTGGGGAGCCTAGGCGCGTGGCCTAGGGCACGGCTCTTGCAGAAGTGAGAACAGCAGTGATTCTGTAGCAGCCCAGGCCCCCCACCCTGAAGCTACCCTCTCCCTGCACAGGTATGTGCATTACTTCAGCGGCCTGCTCTCCGGCTCCATCAAAATGAACAACAAGCCCTTGTTTCTGCACCATGTGATCATGCACGGCATTCCCAACTTCGAGTCCAAAGGAGGTACCTCTCCAGCCCTCCCTCGAGCTCCCTCCCCTCCGCTTCCTCCCTCTCCCCTTCTAGCTGCTCCTGTTGAGGGACTTGTGAGCTGCCCTGCAGTTTCACTCACATCATTTCTGAACGTTTTGAGCTCTTGTCTATGCATCTGGCTCGTGATGCTGAGTGTGACAATGTTTATGTCAACTTACAATGCCTTACAAAAGGACCTGAAAAGACAGCGTGTTCCCCTTCCTGCTCCCTCTTTTGTTCTTTCCTCTTTTCCTTCTTGCCCTCCCCGTGTCTCTGCCCCTCATTCCTTCCTTTTTCTCTCTGTCTCTTTCTTCACTTTTTCCTCCCCTGCCCAATATTTCTGCCATCTTAGCTAACACCCACCCCTCTCTGACAGGGTGTCGGCCTTTTCTCCGTATCTACCAGGCCATGCAACCTGTTTACACATCTGGCATCTAGTGAGTATCTCCTGGGGACTCAAGGCCAGGGATGTCCCAGGCCCAGGGCTGTGGCGTGGGGAGGTAGAGGTGGATTGCCTGACCTCTTGTCTCAAGAGGGCTTAAATCATGGGACTCCCCACAGCTCTGCACTAGGGGCAGCAGGGAGAACATGCAGCCCCTGCCCCCAGCTGCCCCGTTTCTCTGCCCCGTCTCCTTTAGCAATATTCCAGGAGACAGTCAGACCAGCATCTGCATCACCATCGAGCCAGGACTGCTCTTGAAGGGGGACATCCTGGTGAGTGTGGCCTCCGTCTCAAGCCCTACCCTTCTTCTCTCTTCCGGCACCTCTCCTGCACTTGGGGCCTCGAGCCATCTCTACTGGCTGCCATGCTTGGCATCCCAGCTCCCAAGCCTCTTGCAGAACTTTCTAGCCTTCAACAGTCCTAGTCTACGCCTTGCTTTGGAGTTTCATCCCTTCCCTGGGCTCGTATTTTGTTCCGGGACATCTCCAGGGAAATAGTTCTTGATGTGGGCTGTTACACCCTAGATCTTTGTTAGTGACAAGGACCCGGTCGTATGTCCAGTCCTCCCTGAGGCAATCTAGACCCAGTCTTCCTTTTTCCACCCCAACCTATCTTCAGGAACTTCTTGGGAGGACAATTTTGTTCTTATAGATAAAGTCTGCTCCCCACCTCTGCTGTTCTAGAAGTTTCCCCCAGAGAGCTGTGAGATCCCAGTGGGTGACCACTCCCATGTAGGTTTGGGGTGAGACGTGGGGCTCAGTTAGGAGCTTTGAGGCCTGCCTTCTCACTTCTGCTCCTTTTCCCCCAGCTCAAGTGCTACCATAAGAAGTCCCGAAGCCCCTCCCGAGACGTCATCTTCCGTGTGCAGTTCCACACCTGTGCCATCCATGACCTGGGAGTGGTCTTTGGGAAGGAGGATCTTGATGAGGCCTTCAAAGGTGGGCTCCTTGGTGGGGCTCCTGTGGCAGAAGGAGAGCCCAGTTTGAGGGGAGATGGTGTAGGTGGGAACTATCTTTTCTGATCCCCACGGTCTGCCCAGTCTCAGTGATGACAGGGGAAGGAAACTGAGAGACAGTTGGGACGGAGTTGAGGTTGGATATTCTGGGAATTCAAGTTGTAGTGGAGGTGGAGAGAACTCCTTCCCCAGCCCCTGGGTGCTCTGTGTCTCACAGCCTTCTCTTGGCTCTCACCCTGTATCTCCTTCATCTCGTCCCCCTAATTTGTTCCCTGAATCTGTTGGCAATCACTTTTTCAACATTCATGGGGCATCCATTTTGTTTGACACTCAGTCCTAAGTGCTGGCGAATTAAAGTAAAACTGCGTGATCTCTGTTAGTGGAGCTCAACAGTCTAATGTAGGCAGCCCCGCCAGGGAGTGATGATTCCGTGGGGTAGAGCAGAGCAGTGGAGGGGCTCTGGTGAGAGAAGGAGAGGGATCAGGGAAGGTTTGGCGTCTCTTTTCATTCTTTTTTGAAGTCTTATCTATGTCATGTTTCAGGCAGGGACATACACACACACACACACACACACATCCGTCCTCCATCCATCCATCCATCCATCCTTCTCCCCATCCACATTCGTATACCCATCCATCTGTTTATCCATCCATCAGTGCTCTTATTCATTCATTTACTCATCCATTTAGATACCCACCACCTATTCACTTGTCCACCCATCCATCCATTCACCCATTCATAGACCTATCCCATCCACCTGTCTATTCATCCATTCATGCACCCTCATATTCATTTACCTATGCATTTAGAGACCTAGCCACCTATTCATCTATCTGTTTTCTCATCTACCCACTCACCCATTCCTCTGTCTATCCACCTACCTGTCCGTCTATCCATCCATCCATCCCTCCATCCATCCATCCATCCATCCACCATCCATCCCTCTTTCCAGCCATCTACCAAATCTATATGTGCCAGGTATGTGCTAGGTCTTGGAGATACAGAGAGGGAGAAGTTAGGTTCTGCTCTCTGGGAGTTCACAGCCTTGTGTGTGTGAGAGAGAGACACAGACATGATCTCATGAAGTGATGCCCGCAGTGAGGGACACATATGCAGGCATGATGGGTGTCCCACAGAACAGACCCCATCCTTTATCTAACATCTTCTTGCAAGCAGTGGGTGGTGATCTGTGTCCAAACCAGCTTCAGGTATTGAGTGAGCAGACGGGCTGGACTTGGAGGAGACACAGGTCCCCTCAGTGTGGTTTCTGTAGAGTAGGACGTGTCTGGGATGGTCCAGCAGAAGATGCTCTTATAATTGCAGAACTGTTACCAGTCTTGAAGAGGGAAAATAAAGGTAAATCTCACAAAATAAATAGGAGGTTTGGGAAGACAGAGGGAAGAGGAATTCCCAGTTCCCTCCTTCTCCATAGAAGGGGTCAGGAGACAGCATTAAATATGGACAGACCAAGAAACAGAGGCCGAATGTAGTATTTACAGTTCCAAAGACAATCAATAGAATAAATATAATTAGTAACTTAACCAGATAAAAAATCGAATTGTATAGGTCCACCAAATTATTCATCCTCACAGTGGTGATCAATGGAGATGATTTAAAATTGATATTTAAAAATTGTGGCATGAAACTAGATGCTACTTATTATTTGGTGTTTTAGAGGTAAACCACTTACAGAACGAGAAAGAGAAATGGCTAGAAGAAATGATTACCTCAGGCAAATAGGACTGGGGTAGAGTGGGAAGATTTCATTGTACTGGTATAATTTCATATGTATATAGAAATCTATGTATGTTGCTATATTATTAAACTTCTAATATATGGCTAACATATGCCTAAATTTTTTTTCTGTAAGAATTTTGTTTGTTTGTTTTTGTAGTACTGGAGTTGGAACCCTGTCCCTTCACACTGAATTATATCCCAAGTTTTTTAAAAAAATATTTCATTGGGCTGGGTATTTAGCTCAGCAGCATATGCACCTACCTGGTAAGTGTGAGGTCATCAATTTGATTTCCGACACCAAAAAACAAAAAGATTTCATTTTGAGACACTCTTGCTAAGTCACTAACTTGTCTAGGCTGAAACTTGTAATTCACAGAGAAACTCTTTTTTATAGAATCTGCCTTAGTTACTTTTTTCTCATTGCTCAGAGAAATACCCTACACTCAAAATTAAGGAAGGAAAGGTTTATTTAGCTCACAGTTTGTGGAGGTTTCAGTCCATAATCAACTGGCTCCAGGGCAGAGTGGCACATGGCAGAGGGCAGCAGTTCATGGTGGCAGAAGACCTCGAAAGTAACAAGAGCAAAAAGAGAGGAGCACAGAGAGGAGACTCTTTCTGTTCCTTGTACGAATCAATCACAGACTCTAGAAGCCACTTCCATGACTGCGTGAGGCTTGGAGGAAACATGCAAACACAAACCATAACAGAACCTTTTTTAGGAACTCATTGTCCATTTTATTATTTCTTCTCTTTTTCAGATGATCGATTTCCAGAATATGGCAAAGTGGAGTTTGTATTTTCTTATGGTCCAGAGAAAATCCAAGGTATAAGACAAGTTAGAATTTATTCTCACACCTTTCCCCTCCATCCTGACCTGTTCCCTTCCTGCACCACCATCCGCCCAATGATCTCACTGCAGTTATCAAGTTATTGGTGACTGAGAGGCAGGCTAGCAGAAAAGGATCTGGAAGTCAGAGTGGACCCCCAGCTAAACGTGAGCTAGTGACTTGATCTCTGGATAGTAAAAATAAAAAGCAGACAGAGAGGCGCTGGGTTGGATAAACTGTCCTGATCTCATTAGATCACCGTCTTGTTATATTCAGAGACCCTGGGCTGGTGGCTAGGGGGTGTGGCTGAGGTGGGGGCACACTCAAAGGTGGTAGATGGCTGATGGGTATTTATGAGGACTGAGGTGATTCAACCTGGAGGATGATTTAATAATAACCTTTAAGCCTCTAGGCTCTAAATATGGAGACCACTTGTTCTTCATCTTATTTGGGAACAGAAAGGAACAGATGAAGTTGGGTTATGGGCAGAGGCACTCTGGATGGACTAAGAGGAGGATGGCTAGGCCAGGGAGGTGACTGACCCTGGGAGGCTGGGCTTGCAGGTGTGTAGTCCTGAAGTTGGCTTTGTGTGTGGGGAGGAGATGTGACCTCCCCCTGCAGGTGTCTGTCCGGGGTGGAGAGCTTTTTGACTGGGACCCAGGGGCATGTCTGGGATGACCTTATAGAGACTCTGTGTCCTCCTGTGTCACAGCTGCTCTTTCTCTGTTGTCCCTGACCTTAGGGAGTCCATGCCAAGCCTGCCCCATACCCTTCCCCTGACTCCAGGGCAAACTCCTTGGTCTCATGGTCCTAGGGCCCCTGGGGATACCATAGAGAAAGGCAGACACCCATCCAGGAAGAGGGGTTTTTGTTCATCAGTACCCTGTCCTAAAGGAACCCCATGACCTGCTATGAGCCTGTTCAAGAATGCAAGAAACCAGACTCCTGGGTTCTCCATCCAATTTAAATCACCAGTCCCGCCCTGCCATGCTCAAGAACACGAGAAGTCCCATAGGGAGCGTCCTGGGGGGAGATGCGGGCTCTCTGTTTTTCCAGCTGCTGATCTCTTTCCCTTGTTCTCCCCATCTGCCCCTACCTCTCCCACCCACGCAGGCATGGAGCACCTGGAGAACGGGCCCAGCGTTTCTGTGGACTACAATACCTCCGACCCTCTCATCCGCTGGGATTCCTATGACAACTTTAATGGGCATCGTGACGATGCCGTGGAGGGTAGGTGGTGACCCGTGGCTTCTGGCCCCTCTCCAAACCATGCAGCCCTGGCTCACGTGGTTGTGGTTCTCTCAGAGTAGTCTGGGAGGGCTCCTTGGAGGCACTGGCCTTAAGTGAAGCTTGAGCTGTCGCCCTGTACAGCGCAGTGTTTGCTACATTTCTTTGAACCCCACTGTTGGGTTTCTTCAGGCCGGCTGCCTGCGTCTCTGGTCAGAGCCCTGGGCACGCGGACACAGCATCTAGGGCCTGTAAGCTTTCATCAGGCGCCAATGAAAATGTTTGAGATCTGGAAACGAAGCGGTGAGCTCTGACATGTGAAAATAAGGCTGCAGAGCTGAGATGAATGTGTGTTTAATTTAGTCTGTGCAACCTAACATCATATCAGATGGCCAGCTGCACCTCAGGTCACCCCTTGAAGGGTCCATCTCAGTCCTGTTTATTTGTGCGGCTCATTTGAGTATATGAAGGGTGGGGTGGAGCCTCCAGAAATGAGCATGCTCAGAGTCCAGGAGCCCTTTGGATGTGCTGCTGTCTGGGGTTTGGCTCCAGGCTTCGTTTCTTGATTTGTTTGTGGGACCTTAGAATGCTGGAGCTGGGAGCAGTCTGGCCCCCTACGTCTGTTTTCAGCTGGGGTAACTGAGACTCCCTGAAAGGCAGAACCCCCCAGTTTATCCTGTGACCCAAGGCGTGCTCCTCCTGTGAGGCCAATATCAGCCATTGCACTCTGCTGCCTGCTGGAGCTGACTGAGCCTGGGCCCCTGGTGGCATGGATAAGGGATGCCAGGCCTGTGGAACCCTCTCTGCCCTCTTCTTGGGGTACCTTCTCCCCTCGACCCAGCCAGGCGCCCAGCACCCTCCAATTGCCAGAGACACTTCTGCCCCCAGGTCCCTCCCACCCCAAGGGAGCTCTCCAACACTTCTCTTCCCTGGGCACCTGGTCCCCTTTGGAGGATGAAATAATTAGCTCTGTGGTACCCTGGCAGCCAGCCTCATTGTTCATGGTTCTGGGGACGTTTGCATTTTTAACAAGAACACTTGGCAATTTGCAGGAATTTTTAGTGCCTCCCACTTTTCTCTGGTGCAGATTCAATGCGATGATAAGTGTAGAAACATTTAGTGAACTAGAAAGTGCCAGGCAAATAAAAGGTAAAATAATTAAAGGCCAGAAGGGGTGGATGTGGGGAAGACGGGGCTTGAGGGAAGGAAGGAGGGCAGACAGTCAGTGCGGGAGGAGCTGGGGACAACAGCAGGCTGGGAGGGGACAGCGAGGCTGGCAGGGAAAGCTGTGGACTGCCCCCCACCTTCTTCCTCTGCTCCCCTCTGATCCGCTCCCCCAGGCAAGGGATGGAGCCAGCAGGACCTTTGGGCCAGTTAAAGGTCAGCTCGTCCCACAAGGACAGAGGGGCTCCTGTCTGCAGGCTGAGAAGCTGGCCCTCTGCCTGGTGGGGAGTAGCCATCCCCCACCCTAGCCTGGACTGACTAGGCCTGGGCTGGGCCAGGAGTTGTTGGACTGAGATTGTCGCCAGAGAGAGCCCACCCTCTGCTCCCACTGTGTCCCCATCTGTGTGTGCCAGTGGCACTTCAGAAAGGATCTCCGTTCTGGGGTCTAGAAGTAACAGGACTTTCCTCTGGCTATTGGTCAAGAGAGGAAAGTGGGGGGGCTGTGGGACTCCCTAGGTGTGGTCAGCTCCCCACCTCCATTTCCCCACATTTGAGCTGGGGTAAAGCTGCCCAACCCCTAAAACTCCAGAGTGCTCAGGAGATGGATTGAGCTGGAGCTTGCGAGTGACCATTCCTGGAGGGGTCCCTACGCTGGGGAGGACATGGTGGCCCTAGCAGCTCTGCCTGTTCTCTGCAGCAGTCCTGGGCGGACAGCAGGACAGGCTGACAGGAAGTACTTGAGTGTCCTGTGTCAGCAGACCCTGGGTCAGCCCTTTGTGGCTCCATGCCTTTGGTCAAGATTTAGCCTTTCTGTTGTGTTGGTTCCTCATCTACCAGCTTGGGGCAGTGCTGTTGTCCATGTCACTGGCTTACTGGAGCAACTGTCCCAAGGCGATCTTTAGCAAGGGGTTAAGAATGCAGCCTGGGAGTCAGACCACCTGATGTCAGATCCTTTGACAAAGTGCCATTCTTGGGGCTGCAGTTTACTGGGCTGTAAAATGGGATTCAATCAAGAAATCAGTTTGGTAGCCTGTGGTAACTAGAGCTGCCAGTGGTGTTTCCTTGTGGGTCTCTGATCCCTCAGTGGTAGTCATGGCCAAATGGCCAATATCTCAGGCATCTGCAAACATGGTGAGAGGAAGCCCTGAAGTTGCCTGCGTCAACCACAGGCCTGAGAGCTGGAACCCTCATTCTGAACTCAACTATGACTACTGGACAGATAGAGTCAATTGTCCCGCATCCCAGGATGAGGGAGTATGCCAGGCAGTGTGCATGAAGCAGAGTACCCCAGACACCAGGGACTCCCCCGTGGTAGGCAGTTAGTAGGACATCAGTGTGGGAGACCACAGAAGAGGAGACGGGCAGCTCACTGTGGAGGGGGCAGCCTTTCCAGGTGCATGGAGAGCATCAAACCCAGAGTGAGGGGGCCACTGCTGAACACAGCCACCTGTACCTCTCCTGTTGCTGGTGTGCCGCAGGAGTGGGACAAGGCAGGTCAGGCGAGCCCTTCTTGAGCACACTGCGTAACCCAGAGTGGGAGGTAGGAGCTCCGAGCCAGGCAGCTGGCAGCAGATACCATCTCTGGCTGGAGTCCCCTCCAGTGACACAGCCCCCACTTTGCCCACCTCCTGGCAGCACTGAGCTCAGAGCTCCAGTGACCCTATCTTAACTGAGCCTCAGGGCTGACTCTGTGTAACCTCTTCCTGTGCTGCTCCTCCCCTGAGACCCAAGACCCGAGTTCACGGGTAGTGCGATACTCAGCCCCTTTTCACCCCTGATCAGAGTGGATGGTGAGTGAAGGAAGAAAGATCATATTGGTTGCTGGCTGTAGTGGTACATGCCTGTGATCCCAGTACTTGGGAAGCTGAGGCAGAAGGATCACTTGAGAGTTCCAGTCCAGACTGGGCTCTATGAGCAAGTTTAAGGCCAGGCTGAACTACATAGCAAGACCCTGTCTCAAAAAAACCAAAATACCAAAAAAAAAAAAAACCAAATCCATGTTGGAACCTCTGGTTCTCTGTAGCCTGGGGTGGCCCAGGTTGATCATAAAACCTATACAATGCCCTCCTGCCACGGTGAGGGACACGTCACAGTCTCCATGTATGGAAGACGCCCTGTCCCTGGCTCACCTCAGGCTGTGTGAAGCACTATCCTGATGAAGCCCCACAGGTGTGTGTATGGAGCGGTCTCCCTGGGGCCATGAGGTTGGGGATGTGCTGATGGTTGAATTTAGGTGCGTCTGACGCCTTTCCACCTACCAGGAGCCACTTGTCAGCCCTCTCACCCCTAGTTCAGATGGCTCTTATGGGCTGTCATCCAACTTCTCTCATCCTTATGATGACAGGGAAGTCACTACCATGCAGGGATGCCTGTGGCACTGTGGGGTAGGTCCCGGAAACCAAGCCGTGGACAAGAGGGAAAAGGGACAGTCATGTCTGTGCAGTGAACCAAGGCTTTGGTGGTGGTGGATGCTCAGAGATGTTTTGGCCCATTTGCACTTAGGCTGCAAGGAGGGGAGAGAGGAAGGAAGGGTGAGCCGGAAGCCCAGTATCAGGAACCTCTGATGACTTGACCAGCTTCCAGGCTGTGGGGTGGTGGTGGGAGCCCCTGTGGTGCTGTGGATGTTGAGGACAATGGATTGGTGCTCTGGTGCTCTGGCAGCTGTAAGGAGGTACCTCAGGCTGAGGTTTGAACATTGGAAGTTGCTTTCTCACAGCTCTGGAGGGCGGAAGTCTGAGATCAAGGTGTCTCCTGAGACCGCCCTCCTTGGCTTGTGGATGCTGTCTTCTCCCCGTGTCTCCCTCTGACCTCCTCTCTGTGTATCTCTCTGTCCTATTAGGGCAAGGCCTGCCAGTGACCTCGTTTCACCTTAATCACCCTTTTAAGGACCCCATCTCCAGATCCCTCCTGTTTGGAGGGGGTCAGTCGCATTCATCTGGTGAGGACTGCGGCATGCAAGTCTGCAGAGAAGGGTTGCAGGCTTTGCACCGGAGGGAGTGTCCTGAGTTCTTGTAACCAGATGCCTGGGCCTTGGGTCCTGGCCTGGGAGGAGGTGAGGGGCTGAGAGTCTGCTCCTGCTCCCCAGCTTTTCCTTGTGGCCGCTCTGCCTCTCTGGCTCGGTCGGGAGCCTGCCAGCTCAGCGCTCTGGCTGACACCATGGTTCAAGCCTCCAGAAGCTCCATTAGCTCCTTGGCCTGAGTTCTGAAGCCCCACGCCTGGATCCCAGCTCCCCGAGGCTGGGAGTGGGGCTGTAATTTTGTCTGTGCTGCACAGAGTGGACACCAGATTCCTCCTGAGTGTTCCAGGGCCACCTTCTTGGAAGCCAGCCTGAGCCCTCTAAGAAGCTGAGGCCCCCAGGCCTGCACTGCTTCTGTCCACCTGTGCCATCCACCTTGGCTTGACCTCAGCTATGGAGTGGCTTAGAGTTTCTCATGACTTAAAAGAGAGGATAGGGGTGGGGGCTGGCGCTCAGTAAGTAAGCAGGGAGAAGCAGGTTGCTGTGCCACAGGACAGGACAAAGGGAGACAGCAAATCCAGGTTTGCCTTATGGTGCCCACTGGCCCAGCCTGTGCACCTGTAGTAACCTTGGCAGAGCATGGGTGGTGACAGGGCCTTGATTTTATGCTCTCTCTCTCTCTCTCTCTCTCTGTCTCTCTCTCTGTACTAGGGACTGAACCTGTGGCCTTGTGCATGCTAGGCAAGAGCTCTACCATTGAGCTACATCTCCATTTTTATTTTTCAGCAGTATCTTGCTAAGTTGTCCAGATTGGCCTCAAACTGGTAACCTTTCCACCTCAGCAATTCTGAGTGGCTGAGATTGCAGGTGTGCAACACCATGC